CTGCCAGCTGCCTAGCCCTGGGAAATGGGGCTTGAGGCACCACAGGCCCAGGCCTGATAAGGTATTCTCCATTCCCCGGTAGGGTACTGGCCCAGTGCCCAACCCTTGCTGGGCTGAGGACAAGCATGGCAGTGACCCTAGCTTGGTATCTGTTGCAGGTGTCCGGACAGCTTCATGCTGCTCCAGGCCCAAGGTGGCGGCTCTCACTCTAGGGACACTGCTGCTGCTGACAGGCATTGGGGCTGCAGCCTGGGCCATTGCTGAGGTCTCCTCCCTCCCCCAGCTCCTGAGGTCTCACCTACCCCAAGGGCTGCAACCTGCCTGCTCTCACGTCTCCCTTCTCCACAGTGACCATCCTACTACGGAGCGACCAGGAGCCGCTGTACCCAGGTGAGCAGAGCAGGCCTGGGTCCCCAGGGTGGGGAGGAGGAAACTCATGAGGGGAACTCAGAGTGCTCTTGGGACTGATAACTGTGTCTGTGCTCGATGCCTGCATTGCTGTTGAGCAAAAGAGTTTTGTCTGTAGCTCAGGCTGGCTTAGAACTCACCCAGGATGGCCTCAGATTTGTGCCAATCCTCCTGCCTCAGCTTTACGATGATGGGATTACAGGCAAGAACCACTGTGCCCAAGTCACAGGCTTTAGTCTGGAACTCCCATCCAAGCACTACAGACCCAGGCCTGCTTAGCTTCCGAGGTCTACCTTCCCAAGGGTGTGGTTGCTCCCCAAGCCCTAGACAAGTCACCCACGAGTATTCTGTGCAGCTGAAAACATTTTCTTTTTGTTTGTTTTGGTTTTTTTGTTTGTTTGTTTTGAGACGGAGTTTCTCTGTGTAGATTTGGAGGCTGTCCTGGAACTAGCTCCTGTAGACCAGGCTGATCTCGAACTCACAGAGATCCGCCTTCCTCTGCCTCCCGAGTGCTGAGACTAAAGGCATGCGCCACCAGTGCCTGGCTCTGAAAACATTTTCTTTTTCAAGTTTTTGAGAAAAGGTCTTACATTGCCCAGCTACCCTCAAGCTTACTATAGAGGACCCTAGACCTCCTTGCCCTCCGACCTCCGCCTTCCAAGTCCTGGGATTACCCAGAGTACATTGCCACACCTAGCTGAAAACTCCATTTAAAAAAAGGGGGGGGGCTCAAATCGAGGCTGAGGAGATATCTCAGTCAGCAAAGTGCTTGCCTTGCAAACATAAAGACCTGAGTTCAAGTCCCAGAACCCGTGTGAGAAAGCGGAGTATCAGGGAGCAGGTTTGTAATCCCAGCACTGAGGAGGTAGACTAAGGAGGACCAGAAGGTTAAGGGCATCCTCACGGTAGACAGTGCCTAGGGAATGATACCCAGTGTTGCCCTCTGCCCTCTACATGCAAAAATACACACGTGTACCTGTCTCACATACATGCACGTGTGCACACATACAGAGTCCGAATAGGATTAGGAATTACCAAAGTGCATCGCCCCCAAAGAGAGAAAGTTACGTTTTCACTTATGTATTCACACACACATACAGCCTTAAAAGCCTTTTGCATGTGGGGCTGTTATTCCTCCCTTTTACACAAGGGGAAACTGAGGCTTGGCCATATGATGATATGCCCTGGACCACAGACCTCCTACCATGACATAAATTATGATGGACACATGGATACCATGGACACATGTAAGTCATTCCAGAAGGACAGGATGAATTCCGTAGGCTCCCAGTCTGAGGACGTAGCGGCTCTCCCTGTCCTTTCTACACATGGAGGCCAGTAATGATGGCGTCAGGAACAGCTGTCAGACCTGTGGGTGTGACTGCGCATGAGGAAGGAGCGGCCACAGAAACCCCAAGTGGAACGAAGGGATGAGGCTTCCCTGAGGCCACCTCTGTGACTGAGGAAAGCGGAGTGTGCCTTTTTTCCCGAGGAAACATGATTCCAGATTTGAACAGTTGGCACTGGACTCGGTCGCCCTGACTGAACTTACAAACACTGACCTCAAGGCCAGGCAGGGACCAGCCTCGAGGCTTGGTGGCTTTGGCTCATTCCGTCCTACCAGAGCATGTTTTCAAGTAGAGTGAAGGCATAGGCAGGCCAAAGGCTCAGCATGGTAGCACATACATAGCCCCATGCTCAGGAAACTGAGACCGGAGGATTGTGAGTTTTGAGGCTAGCCTGGGCTACACGGTGAGACTCTGGCTCTTATCCAGGTCATAGCAACCCAGGCAGTCAGGTGGTAGTCCTCAGTTACTTGTCTAGAAACTGCTGAGTTAATTGCCATAGTGAAAGCTTGCACCCCAGGCTTGGCTGCAGTCTAAGGCTATCTTCATCCCAGTGTTTTGCATACGGGGGAAACTGAGGCTCTGTGAAGTAGGCTACCTTGCCTAGGACCATAGGTGAGTAAGTAACAGAGCAACAGATCAGCAGGCCTTACCGTTCCACATGGCACCAGGATGGAATCCCGACCCTAAAGACTCTTAGGACCTACAGTTCACCATGGCTTGCAGAGCTGTCTCTCTGGACTCTAGTCTCAGGGTTTCCCCCTGTTCCCTACATACCCCCCTCCTCCAGAGTCATCGCCACCTTTCCCATCATCTTCAAGACCTACAGTTCACCTTGGCTTGCAGAGCTGTCTCTCTGGACTCTAGTCTCAGGGTTTCCCCCTGTTCCCTACATACCCCCCTCCTCCAGAGTCATCGCCACCTTTCCCATCATCTTCACCCCTCCTCCTTTGCAGCGCTGATGAGAGAATTCAGGTCTTAACTGCTTAGCAAGGGTAGAATCACACCCCCGATCCTCACTGGGGGATTCTAGGCAGGGGCTCTACCACTGAGCCACCCCCCAGCCCCTCACTGGGGGATTCTAGGCAGGGACTTTACTGCTGAGCTGCTACACTCTCCCTCCCCTCCTTTGTAGTTTTCTTTGTGAAACAGAATTTTTGCTATGTTGAGCTGACCTTGAACTATCGTTAGACCTGGACTTCTCTGCTCCTCAATGGGGAATTCTAGGCAGGGGCTCTACCACTGAGCCACGCCCCCAGCCCCTCACTGGGGGATTCTAGGCAGGGACTTTACTGCTGAGCTGCTACACTCTCCCTCCCCTCCTTTGTAGTTTTCTTTGTGAAACAGAATTTTTGCTATGTTGAGCTGACCTTGAACTATCGTTAGACCTGGACTTCTCTTGTCTTAGCTCCCCGAGTAGCTGGGATCCCAGGCTGCGCCCTCAGGCACTCCGCTGTCCTCTTGCCCAGGCAGAGTTCACCAGCCCCCACCCTTCCATTATTTCTGAGCTGGGCTCTCTGAGAACTTCTCCTTCCTGATCTGGGACGTGGGGTGAGCAGAGCCAAGTGGGAAGAGAGGAGATCGTTGTCTGGCTTATCCATGCAGGGCTCAGCTTTTAGCCAAATCTTAATCAAAGGGCTCACCCCTCCTTGAACGAGCCCTCCCTAAAGCTCACACTGCATCCCCTGCCACCCCCATAGCCACCCAGCTGTCTGTAATGGAACCCTCACACCGACACTCTATGAGCATTCAGAGAAGGCAGAGATGTTTTGTTTATGGGTCGGGCTGTCTGTGGCACATAGTAGGTGCTCAGGACCTCTCCCCTTAAGAACAAGCATATAGAAGAAGAGTTGGAACTAAGCCTGCTTGTGATCGATCCTAGTGCTTGAGAGGCTGAGGCAAAGTGATTGAAAGTTTGAGGCTAGTCTGGGCTGAGTAGCAAGACCCTGTCTTAGCAAACCAAAAAGAAAAAGAAAAACAAACAAACAAACAAACAAACAAAAACAAAGCACAAAGACAAATTGAAGAGAACAATAAGCCAATGTAGAAAGACACTAGCAGGGCTCTGGCCAGTGTCTGCACCCTGTGAGTAGCACTTTCTAGAACGCTGAAGTATGGAGAGCACAGACAAGAAAACACAGTGATGACTGTATCCCCACTTTAATTCGCTCTGGGATCTTCACACCTCTAAATAGATCTCACAGATCGGTAAGCACACCTGGCAATGTACTGCACGTGTAAAGTGACAAACAGCACACAGAATATGGCTGTAAAGCAAACTTCATGTGGGTGCACAGCCGTGACAGGCAGCCCCTCAGAAGGCTGAAGCAAGAGGGTCGCAAGTTCCAGGCCCTTGTCTTCCTAAAACCAGAAACAGACATAATAATAATAATAATAATAATAATAATAATAATAATATAAAAAGCTTGTTTTTGCTGTTTCCCTTCTCCCACTTCCAGATCTTCCCAATGCATATTCATAAAAAATTCACCTTTTCCCCCCCTAAGGCCCCCATAAGGTTAGAAATATCTTGAGCAGTTATAAGAATGATGCCTCCTGACTCCAAGCTGCTGTTCTTGCTTTGTTCCTGGGGGTCAGGATGGCAGGCACCACTCAGTGGTAGCTGTCAGCCAGTCCTTAATGGAGGCCAGAGATGGAGGCTGTATTTACAGCAAACCCCACCAGCAGCTTTTAGTCTTGCTATGGATGAATTTGTGCTGGGCAGAGAACATGGAAGCCAGCAGGCAGTCTGAGTTCACATCCTGGCTGGCTGGTTGTTAGAACAAGTGTTTCCTTTGGTGGTTAGTGCACCATCTGTGAGATGTGCTTGTGATTTATTATTTCTTTTATTGATGCTAGGAATTGGACCAAAGGCCTTAATCATGCAGGCAGGGGCTCTACCACTGAGCCACACCCCCAGCCCCTCATTGGGAGATTCTAGGCAGGGGCTCTACCACTGAGCCACACCCCCAGCCCCTCATTGGGAGATTCTAGGCAGGGGCTCTACCACTGAGCCACACCCCCAGCCCCTCATTGGGAGATTCTAGGCAGGGGCTCTACCACTGAGCCACACCCCCAGCCCCTCATTGGGAGATTCTAGGCAGGGGCTCTACCACTGAGCCACACCCCCAGCCCCTCATTGGGAGATTCTAGGCAGGGGCTCTACCACTGAGCCACACCCCCAGCCCCTCATTGGGAGATTCTAGGCAGGGGCTCTACCACTGAGCCACACCCCCAGCCCCTCATTGGGAGATTCTAGGCAGGGGCTCTACCACTGAGCCACACCCCCAGCCCCTCATTGGGAGATTCTAGGCAGGGGCTCTACCACTGGGTGAGGATGCCACCCCAGCCCCCCTTTTACATTTTATTTTGAGACCCTTTTCCCTAAGTTACTTAGGCTGATCTTGAACTCACTCAATAGCCCAGACAGACTTTGGACTTTTGATCCACTAGCCTTGGCTTCCTAAGTAGGTGAGATGACCTGAGCCTAGGTCTCTGCCTACAAAATATTCAAAGAATCCTGAGTCATTCTCTTTCCCTGTGCTGCCCCCTGCTGGCCTAGCCTCCATCCCTGTCACACTGAGGTCATAGTCTGGGCTCCAGTTCCTGCCCTGAGGTCTGCTGCCCCCATCAGCAGCCAGAAGGAACTCATGCATCCCTGAGTCAGGTCAGTGTGTGGCCCCCACCCCCAGCTCTGAGTCCTGGACCAGCGGCATGTTGATCCAGCCGCAAGCTAACTCTGCCATCCTCTCCTGCCTCCTGGCTGGGCTGTTGCTCACCCAACTCCCCGCCTCAGCCTTCAGATCTCCACTTTCTGTTCTCCAGTTCCTCTGGCCTACTTCTCTGTCGGCTCTCAGCTCACAGCAAATTTCTCACCTCCTCTATTCCTCGTCATCGCTCATGAGGCACCCTCCCAGCAAAGCTGTCCTTGCCTGCCCACTTACAGCAAAGTGCAACGCCACCCCCACAGCCCAGAGCCCCGCTCCTTCTGTTGGCCTTGCCTGCCTCCATGGCCCCTTCTGCTGCGACACAGGACACGTTTCCGTTATTTGTCCTGTTCATTTTCTGTCTGCCCTCCTGGGCTTTGCACTCCATGCAGGAAGAAATTTTGTGTGATTTTTTTATCTACAGCCTAAAATAGTACCCAGCATGTTCAAAGTAAATATAAAGAAACACCCCTAAGCGGTTTGACCTGACTCAGGTACGAACGGGGCTTCTCTGACCTTACAAAAACAGATGGAGGGCCAGGGAGCATTGGCAGGAGACACAGACTGTCCCAGCCACCCTCAGACAGAAGCAGTGCTGAGGCTAGCCTTCTGCTGCAGTCCTGCCCTGGGTTACGCCGATTTCCTCCCTCCCTCTCTCCCTTTTCCCCTCTCCTTCCATTCCATCTTTCATTCTGCCTGAGACATAATGTAGCCCCGCTTGACCTCAAACCCACAAGCCTCCTGCCTCAGCCTCCCAAGCGCTGGCATAGCAGCTGTGTTTTGTGCCTGGCTCTTGTCAGTTATTAGTGGTGTATTTTCTAGGTGACTTTTGATATTTGAAACAGGGTCTTCTAATTCTGTAGCCTTGGCTGGCCTGGAATTAAATGTGTAGCCCCACACTGGCTTCAAACTTGGGACAACTCTCCTGCCTCGGTCTCCTGAGTGCTGGGATGGTAAGTGGAAGCTATCCACCGAGCTAAGGTGACTTGAGTCACTGAGCCCATCTCCCAGGTTTTGCTTGGGTGCTCCTCTTCCTCCTCCTGTGTTTATTAGTATTTTAGTATTCGTTTGAGACAGGGCCTCTCTACCAAGCTCTGTAGACCAGGCTGGCCTCCAGCTCACAGAAATCTGCCAGTCTCTCCCTCTTGATTGCTAGAACTAAAGGTGTGTGCCACAACAGCTGGTTAAAATATATAGCCCAGGCCACTGTCCAACTCATGACCCTTCAGCAAATTCTAGGCTCATGTGCCACCATAACTAGCCCTCCAGTTCAGACTGGCCTTGAACTCATGAATCTGTAGTTTTCACTTTCTGAGTGCTAGAATTACAGGCATCGGTCTGCCCGGTGCCCCAATTCCTCCTCCTGCCAGGCCCCTTGTAATTCTTCTTTTCTCCAGGTCACACTTATTTAAATGTTTTAGTAACCTGGTGAATTAGCCAAGGGTTTCTGGCCCCTCTGGCAGTTCCCCAAGCTTGGCTGAATCTGGGCCTGTTCATCCACGGTGCAGTCTCTCTCTCTCTCTCTCTCTCTCTCTCTCTCTCTCTCTCTC